AACGGAATGTCGAGGAGCGGACGCGGGGACGCGGAGTGCGCGTGCGCGCGCCGCCGCGGCCGCCGCCGCCTGGGCCGGGGCCGGGGCGGGTGTGCCCGGTGGCCCGGAGCGCGCAGTTTGCAGCCGGCCCGAGGTGCAGAGCCCAGACCACCCCGGACCGCCGAGCGTCCGTGGCCCCGCAGGCATCCCGCGGAGGTGGCTGTGGGGTAGGGGCGGCGGGGAACGCAGTCCCCCTGGAAGAGGGGAGCGAGGGAGGTCTGCACGTTGCTGGGACCCGATCCGTGCCCCTCTGCCCTCACCTCCAAGTATTCTTTCCCAGAGACTCGGGAAAAGTCCCTCTCCCTTCTTCGCTGCGGTGGGACACAATTCAGCAAGTCCAAATTGTAAACGTCACAGCATAAGCGTTAAACGAAAACTTGGCAGGGGGTTCTTGTTTCCTGCAAACCCGTGAGCAACTTAGATTTTACATTTGCGAAATGATACTCTGATTTAGAGTAAGCAGCTCAGTTGTTCCCTCCGTTGAGACAGAATCGACTCAGACCAAACAGTTTGTATTGGGGGGACGTTCTGTAAACATGCCAGAGCCGGGAGCCCAGCACGGGCAGCTTGTGGCAGACGCACCAGCTTGGGCACTCAACGCAAGGTCGCTCTCCTCCTTGGCCTCAAGTGGGCGTCTCGTGTATCGTCTGCACTGATTTCTCAGTGCCGGAACTGCCTGGCAGTTTCTTTTTGTCATTCTGTAACTTCTGTCCTGAGCACACACAGAAGAGAAAATATGCAAAACAGGCTTTCAAGGCCAGGAGCAGTGTGCAGTAGCCACTCTGACCAGGAGGGTGCAGATCTCAGGGGAAAGTACACGGGACAAATGAAGCAGCCACCAGCTCTGAGCTTCTCTGGCCTGTGGCAAGTAGGAGTTTCAGCTTTTCCAGACCATTTGATTGTTAGATACTCAAAGACTGACTTTCCTTCCGAATCTCCCTCGATGGAGAAAAAAAAGAAGGTATTTACTCCTGGGTAATCTTCTCTGTTTGATAATCTTCAATTCGTCCCTTGATAATAGAAGGTCTTTACCAGAGGCCTGCTGGCTGATGGACAATGCTAAGGAAAAAAAAATATATCTTAAAATTGATGTATTTAAATACTTTTGGAAAAGGTATACAATAAGTGGAAACGTTAAGCCTTTTATTTAGGGCCTTAAGACTGTTTATCTAGTGCCATTATCAAGGTAACCTAAGGCAGGTAAGTGACACTATTCTGATGATCTCTCTTTGTACCAGATTTTGCTCTAACCTCTACATAAATTATCTCAGCTATTTCTCTTTAGTTCTGTAGTACAGATGTGGAACCTGAGGCTGCCACACTAGGACTGATGGAGTAAGGACTCGGCATGGGCTCGTTTCTCTGGTAGTGGTCTTTTCTGTTGTAATTTGTCTTGATTGTAAATCAGTAGATTAAAATGTACTAAGGGCTACAATTCCTAAGGATAAGAGTACAGCTCTAATATAGTCATCCCTGCATTTACTTTCTATCCAAAGCATACTATTCCATTTTATTAGTTACTACTACTTCTTGGTGTGATAGTTGATTATTTTCTTTCCACTTGATGCAACAGCTTGTTTTCTTTGTACTAAAAATTGTTAGAAGTCAAAGATCTCCAAGTTTTGGAGATCCCACCAGAAAACATGTAATACTTTTAAAAGACAGCATGTTCAGTGTTTTCTCCATGAAGATGAAAATAAAGGTCATAATTTAAATATTCAAAATACAACAAAAAGGAAAGAAAGAGGGTAAAAGAACAAATAAAGGAATAGAGGGGCTGCACATTTCAGTTCATACAGTATAAAATATGGGACAGGTGGAATCTTGACATAGGTGATTACATCTTAAGATTTGGAAGATAAGAAAAATCAGGAGATAGATTTTGTGGTGGTTGGTAGAGCTCTTTGAGAAGAATTAGGAGATGTGTTGTTCTTGGAGGATGTATATCACTGAGGGCGAGCCTTGAGGGCTTAAAAGCCCATTACCGTTGTATCTCTCTCTGTCTCCTGCTTACGGGTCAGGATGTAAGGTCTCAGCTACCGCTCCAGTGCTGTGCCTGCCTGCCCGCAGCCATGCTTCCTGCCATGGGGGGTCATGGACTCACCCTCTGAACTGTAAGCTCTTTCTTCTATAAACTCCTTCTTCTGTAAGTTGCTTGATCACGTGTCTCTTTACAGCAATGGAAAAATAACCAAAGCAGATAAGTCGTTATATTTTGGTGCCTTTGTGTGTGTGTTTGGGGGGGGGGGGGGGGGGTAGAGGGGGGGGGGGGGGGGGTTTGACTACAGAAGTAAGGTGGAGACGCAGCAGCTTCATTGGTTTGTGTGCTGTGTTTGGAAGGCATAACCTTGGTTTCCAGGGAAAGAGATGATGAATTTGGCTACTTGAGTAAATAAATAAATAGGATTTAAAAAAATTGGATGCATACGTGGCTGAGGGGAACAAGGATGTGCTCATTTTTTGCTTTCAATTACCTGCTATCATGTTACAATTGGCAAAATTCAAAAAGCATTCAGAAGAAAGATGCCTAGGTGTAGAGCTCAGGGCAGGGGCAAGCCTGCCTGCCTGGACAGCTGAGCACACCGGGAGCAGAGGCTTTTACTGTTTGGACCCACAATACTGATAGCATGGAAGAGGCCTAACTATGCTAGCACATCCTAGATTGCTTTTATGCTAGCACATCCTAGATTGCTTCCTCCTACAAATATTACAAAAGCACCTTGAAGAGCTTCAAGGCTTCAATCCTGTTAACTTAGTAAATCAGCCGCTTTCTTTCTGCTGGGCATAGTTGTGATCTTCCTTCTCATCTAGACAGTCTGATGGTGAGCATCACAGCAAACCGCCCCAGACCATGCCTGAACATCTAAACGCCTAAGAAATGAGAACAAGAGAGAACAGAGGAAGTCCTGAGTGTGTGAAGACCTTGGTGGCTGTGTGGTTTTAACACGGGCGCAGTCTTGTGAAGAATTCTAATGCCTCAGCCCCATGGGAATGGCACAGCCTTCCCTGGATGAAGTTCAGAGAGATAGCAGAGTCTTCCTAGTGTCCATGTTCCAGTGTTGATAGCATGTACAGGGAATGTCCACCGTAGCTTCTCTACCCATCGCAATGTGCTTACAGCCTGAAGACTGCTTTGCAACACAGGCTGCTCTTCCCTCCTTGATCTTCCCATATATGTATAAATCCTGCCTTATGTTATAACACCCCCTCCCCATCCAATGGTATGTAATAGAGGTACTGAGCTTCCAGGGAACTGCAAATTCTCAGGCAGCCCAATAAATCAGATCCCAGGAACTCTGTGTGTCTGTCTGTCTTTTGTTCATTCCTTCTCAGCCCTCATCACAGTTCCAGGACCCAAGCAATGCAAGGGCTTGACAGGACATGGCTTCAGTGGAAAAGTCCTTGCCTAGCATTTACAAAGACTTTGATCTCTAGTACCACATTAAGCCAGGCATAATGATAGATGACTGTAATTCTAACACTCAAAGACGGAGGCTCACAAGTTTTAAGATCACACTTGCCTACTTGGGGAGCTTGAAGCCAACCAACCCGAGCTACACAAGACCTTGTTTATATAAATAATTGAATAAGCTTTTTTTTTTTTTTAAAGACTCAATCTCAAGAAATGTAGTGAAATCAGGAACAAGCCACCAAGAGAAGATGACTGAACATGTCTGGAAGAGATGATGAATGTTCAATTTTCAGAGAGGAAGAGGAGAAAGGCTTATGAGATAATGAAAGATGATCATTATGTTAAGTAAAATAAGACAAGATTCCCCCCCCAAAAAAAACAAACCAAATAGCCTATGTTTTCTCTAGTGCATAGATGTCAGACTGTGTAAAAAAAAAAAAAAAAATACTTGAAAGAGGAGGGGCTACTATTTGGGTAAAGAAACAGGGCCAGTGAGAGGGGAATAAAGGCACAGATAAAGTTCAGAGAGTGAATTAGATGAACACATGTAACAGAAGAGCATGATGAGAGCCGTTCTTATGTACAAGGAATTACACTGATTGCTCTGGTGAAAAAATGCCAAGGAGAAATCAATGGGCTACTTCTGAGGCACTCAGGAAGAGGAGGACCAAGGATGGAATGCACATCCCAGATTATAGTAACACTAATAGGAGATACTGAAATATGGGCTTTCAGAAGACACGAGAAACTGGAGAGCCAGGATATGATCTCATATCTTTGAGGGTTTAAGTTTCATATCAGAAAATCAGTAGACATAGTTACAAGTGTGAACTGTTATGTCCAGACAGGGACATCATCAGCATATGTGTGGTGGTTGAAGTCACAAGTATCACAAGAATGAAGTAATGAATTCAGCTGAAGATGTGAGCCCCATTGGCTCTTCTATATATAAAGGACAGTTTGAAAAATAGGTCCCCAAAATTAATGTCTATTCATTATTAGTTAATTTTATGCTAATAATTTTAATTAAATTTTCTATTTGTGCTTATAATTGAGTTCTTGCCATATTCCACTTTACATATTACCTTTTCAGATCACTATTATGCTCTTTGATGCTCTGAATAATTGATTATATGATGCATA